CCCATATTCATCTCTGCTCTCACCTTCACCCTACTGGCTGGTTGGACACACACACACACCATCTAAAAGTTGTTAAGACTCACCACTTGTCAAGTGTGCAGGAAGATCTAGAGGATTTGAGGGCAGAGCTGGCTTCAGGGGCAGCGTCTGGTCCACAGGCACAGGTGGCTTCAGGGGCAAAGCTGGGCCCAGGGGCAGAATTTGGCCCAGGGGCAGTGGCAGACCTTCTAGCAGGGCACTGGTTAGGGCCAGGAGCCCACAGAAGACAATGAAGCTCTTGATTTGAAGCATCCTCTCTCTTGGTATCTGGAGAAAATGATGGGTCTGATTAGGCAGGGATATCAGACAAGAATTTCCCACCCTACTGTCCCTGCTCACCTGGACGCAGGATGCTCCTCTGTCTGCTCCCTAGAATACCAGGTTGTGAACAGAAGCAGCTACCTCTGTTCCTCTTAGGAAGCGGAGCGTTTTGCCCAGCCTGGCTCTAGGATGAGTGCTTACACTCTTATCACAACCGTAAGATTCGGGCACTCATTCCCTGTATCTCGCAGACATGGAGATGAGGTCTAGTGGGTTTCAGGAATATCCCCCCAAAGTCACATAGTAAAGACAGGTTTGAAGCCAGCTCTGTCGGACCCAGCTGACGCTGTTGAAATGAAGCGACCCCCAGATTGTTGAATCACCCCCCCACCACAGCCTCCTCTTTTCAGATAAAGCAAAGGAAGAGGTTTAAACACGTGCAGGGCCGAGGAACCAAATTTCCTCGGTCAGGCCCACCAAGCCCTTGGGTCCCAGGCCTGGGCCAGGATGGTGTGTGGAAGCCTCACAGGATGCCAGGGAGGAGGAGTGGTGGCCCCAAGGCCACACAGCAAATCCAGGCTTGAGCGGTGGCTGTAGGCCGGTTTCCTCCTTGCCCTCTCGCCACCCATGAACACCAGAATGCATTCACACTCCCGCCTTCTCCTTCCAGCGAAGGGAGTGGAGTCCTGGAGCCACCCTGGAGGTTGGCCTTCTTTGGGAACCAGCCACCTTCTAGATCCCATTCATCCGGTCATGGCAGCTTTGGCAGCTGAAGGAGCCAGCGGTGTCGGAAACCAGAGCCGGTACCTACCTGTTGGAAATGACTAGCTGCTTTGGGCAAAATCCCAACAACTGGAAGATTCTACCCAAACTCTTACCGAAGGTGACTGGCTGGAATGGAAAGGCATTGTACCCCACCCTTTGACCCCCTCCAATGCCAATTGGGGCCTCAGCGGGGAGGGGAACTTGGATCAGGGACTCTGAATCTTCCAGGCAACAGGCCCTTTAGACACTCAATGGGCATCAAGAACCCGTGTCCCAGAAGATGCTTCAAAAATGTGCAAAATGGGGTGGATAATTCCAGGAGGTTGGTGGGTAGTTTTAACCCCTGTTGGCAACCTGCAGTGCCTTTCTGCCTTAGAGATTTTGATTTAGGGGGTGACTGGTATTTCCCTGAGATAGTGCCAACCTGGAAAATCTGGAAGTTCTCACTGTGACCACCTGCTCCGTGACCATCCAATTCTCTGTTACCAAACATCTCTCTGTGTTCCTGGTGTCTTAGGCAAGCAGAGTGAATGCCCATCCACCCCCAAGCAAATGGCCAGAATGGCTTATCCTGAAAGACCCCCCAGTGAGTGCCCACACCCAGCGGGCAGCTCTGGCAACCCTCTCACCCAGGTGTGCCAGTGGGAGAGGAACGGGCAGGGCTCACCGGGGCTTCTCTGCGGACCTCACGCTGGCCTGCTCTCCTCTCCCTTCTCCCACTTGCTTCTGTGGAGGAGGCAACCTCTTTTATAGTGTGGGAATCAGGAAACGTGGGTTCGGATGATGGGTTTCCAGATAATTCCGAATTCTGTAATCTGGTGGTGTCTTTCAGGGCTCTCCAAAGTAAATAATTGCCAATCACATTAGCAAGTGGGACAGCTAAGCCATCGGACCGACTAGTTAAACAGAAACACTTGAGATGGGGCTGTGACTTACGCAAGACTTCGTGGTCTCAGGGATGGGGCTGGAGACCCGTGATCCGAGGTGGGACACTGGGAGAGGCAGCCAGCGGAGCCCAGCAGGGGCCCTCAGTCGCATGCCAAGCCCCCCTTCAGTGGCTACAAGAGCCCTGTTTGTGTAGTGGTTACAGGTTGGGCTGCGAACTGCAAGGTCAACAGTTTGAAACCACCTGCCGCTCCTCGGGAGAACCCGAGGGCTTTCTACTCCTGAGCAGAGTGACCGTCTCAGAGGCCCTCAGGGGCAGTTCTCCCCTGTCCTACAGGGTCCCTCTGAGTTGGAATTGGCTCAGTGGCAGGGGGCTTGACTTGCTTTTCCATTTCTACCCCGATTTTTGCCTCTGACCGGAGGGGGGGGGGGGGGACACACACTCTTGAGACCAAAGTGTCAAAGAGAGTCCACCTGTACCTGAACTCCGTACATCTGGGTGGACACAGTTCCAGAGTAGGGACCTCCTATTGTCAGAGTCCCTCTGGCACAAAAGTCCCGTGTGAGGGGCTGTCTGTCCTCACAAGAAGCCTGAGAGCCAGGTCTGGGCTTCTGATCCGCAGGAGGAAGCTGGGCCCCAGTGTGGGGTGAGGGGGCGTGGGGCACGAGTGGCTGGCCAGAAGAGCCAGAGCCAGAGTCAGAGTTCAACTCATGACATCATAAGAACAGCAAAAGCAATGCCACCTGCCCCGTCCCGGGCCCTGTGTGGTTCGTCCCTCAGGAGTCCTCACAGCATCGCACAAGGCCAGAAGGAGCGTTGCCATCTCGCACGGAGGAAACAGACGGGGCATGCTGGGATGCCACAGCTCGCGTGGTGTGAAGCGGAGGCAGTCACATGCCAGACCTGTCTGTGTCTTCTCACTGGGCTGTCTCTACACACACACACACACACACACACACGCACACACACTCAGTGACCGTTTTTTGCTTCCCCTCGTCTATGAATCTCATGCTCTGCTTCCTATTCTTCTGTCCTGGAATAATTCTTTCCAGGTCCCAGGTCTGAGGGATTCTATGTATCCCGGTCTCTATCTTGCCCTTGGGCTTTCCTGTACCCTCCTTCCATGAGGGATAAGACGTTTGTCCCTACCCCTTGGGCCTCTGGGGTCTTTTGGACAGATGGAAAAGCTGAGGCACTGAGAGCCCGAGGTGAGTAGCAGACCCCACTCTTCAAAACCTCTCACCGTAGACGCCAAAGAAGAGACAGAGGAAATGCCCGTCTCCTGAGCACCTTCCTCTGCGTCAGGGACTTCTCATAGTTGAGCCTTGTCCTCAATGGGACAAGTTGGGTTTAATGTCCTGAGAAGTCACATAAGGAGTCCTTGTGGCTCGATGACTCAGATGCTCAGCTCTTAACCAAAAGGTTGGCAGTGAGAATCCACCCAGGGGCTCTGCTCGACATCACCAGCAACCACAAGGTATCTCAGATGAGTCGACCAAGGCTCCCCCAGATCATCAACTCAGCAGTCTGGGTTCTTTCTTCTTGATCCGGGAATCAAGACAACAGGCGGGTGTCTGTTGAGTTGACCCCAACTCCTGGCAAGCCCACCTGGTACAGAAATGAGCTGCTCCCGGGGCTGGCTTGGCTATCATCGTTATGGAAGCAGATTGCCAGAACTTTCTTTCAAGGGCCCTCTGGATAGGCTCGAACCACCCACCTTTTGATCGGCAGCCAAGTGCACTAAGTATGAGACCAGGCAGCCTTGAATTCTAAATCCGGCTCAGCTAATTACCAGCCGGGGGACTTTGGGTAAGCTGCTGGCCCTTGCTGGACTGACTCTCCCTTTCCTCCCGTCACCCAGGGCTAACCCCACCCACCTCCTAGGGCTGTGGAGGGGATTACACGGGGAAACAAAGGCAGCTCTCAGCTCTTGGCCTCGCACAGAGTCTGTGTCCCGAGACCATCACTGGCCGGATACAGATGGGCAGGGGCTGGTATGGAATCTGGGCTTCTTTCTGCCCCTAAGTAAACTACCCTCCTCCTGACCCCATGGACAGGAGTGCCCCCCCGCTGCTCCTCCAGGCCACTCAGAAGAGACGTGAGGAGCCCGCAGCCATGGGAACCTTCAATGATAAACCAGAAGCCAAGAAACCCAAGGCAGCCCTTGAGGAAGCGGCTGAGCCGTTCCAGGAGGTTCAGGAGGAAGGAGACAAAAGGTGCCTTCACCGGGCAGCCCCAAGGGGGACAGCAGGCAGCACTCCCATGTTTGCTCTTTGACTCAGGATCAGGAAGAACCCCACAATCTCCAGGCTCTCAGGGGTGGGGGAGGTGGGTGCATTTGGGTGGATGCTGTAGTTTAGGGTTGCAAATCCCCAGTGAAGCATTTCGGATTAGGGAGCTTGAATGGGAAGATGGAGACATAAGTTTCCCTTGCTCTGTTTTCCTCTGAGCTGCTGACACTTCCTTGTTTGAGCCTGTCAGTCCAGCTAAACACACATTTCTTCATTTTCCCCTTGGGGTGTGGGTCAGGTGGTAGTGGGGGTACCCTGGAAGGAAGCAGGGGATGCCCACACAGACAGTGGTTAAGAGAGCGAGCCCTGGGGTCTAGTTGTCCGAGGGCTGACTGGACCATTTCTTTGTTGTGTGATCTTGGGCAAGTGATGTGATCTCTCTGAGCTTATTTCCATGGGTGTAAAACGCAACCAGTCTTGTTAGGGGGTTGGTAGTGAGGGTTTGGTGAAGTGCTGCACAGACGCTCTATGCACCAAGGCTGGCAGGTACCAAGTGCTTAAGGCACGAGTGACACTATTGTTGCTATTGCCCCTGGGAATCTCAATATATCTTTTCCAAGTTCTCAGGTGGAGGAGGGTGGGAATCCACATTGACTAAGGGCCAAGAGTCAAGTCATTGACTGACATTGAACCCACCTTGAAGTATTCCCCATAATGTAAACGTGTTCATCCTGCAGGGTATTTTTATTTTACTGTGAAATGTGCACACAAGCAGAATGATTTTAAAATGCACAGCAGGGAGTCCCATGCTGCTTCACGAGCTCAACACCCCATCCCCAAAACCAGCACCCTCTGGAAACCCAGAAGTCCCTGTGTCCCCGCCCAGCCAGTCCCTAACCTTTCCCTGAGGGTAGCCCCCTCCTGACCTCTAGCAGTAGGGTGCTCTTGCTGGTGTTTGAGCTTCATGTAGTTGGGCACCCCTGACATGTACTCTTTCGTGTGCCGGATGGCTTCTTCTACTCGGCATTGCGTCTCGACGATTCACCCAGATGGTCATATGTGGTTGTGGATCGGTTTCATCGCTGTGAGTATCCCACTGGGCAGCGGGGCCGTGAGTCATCGACCCTTTCTGCTTCTGCACTCTTTGGACAGGCATGTAGGGAAGTTTCCCTTTGGGACTACTACAAACATGGACCGTGCCTGGCTTGGCCCCTAACCAGGTCAGAGGTTGAAATCCACCAGCCGAAGAAAGATGTGCCGCCCCAGCATGTCATGAGCTGCAGCCTTGGCAACCCACAGGGGTAGTTCTACTCTGTCCTGCAGGATCGATAGGAGTTGGAATCGACTCAGTGGCAGTGAGTTTGGCTTTGGGGCTTTCTTAGGAACACGGCTGCTGTGCACATCGTTGTATATGTCTTGTGGTGCCCACGTGCCTGCCTCTCTGTTGAGTACATACCTAGTAGGGGAACTGCTGGGCCCCAGGGAAAGCACAGGTGCAGCTTCAGGAGATATTGCCACGTAGTTTTATAGAGTGATGGTAAAATCACAAAGTCAGTGGTTCAGACCTACCAGCTAGCTGCTCCATAGGAGAGACATGAGACTCTCTCTCATAAAGATTGAAGCTCTGAGTCAGAATTGGCTTGGTGGCAGTGGGTGTGTGAAGGAGCCCTGATGGAGCAGGGGTTTAAGCATTGGGTTGCTAACAGAAAGGTCAGTGGTTCAAACTCACAGGTGCTTCATGAGAGACAGACGAGGCAGTCTGATTCCATGAAGATTTACAGCCTCTGAAACCCTGTGGATTAGTTCTACTGTGGGGTCGACGTGAGTCAGAATTGGCTTGATGGCAGCAGAACGGATTTAGTCGTATGAAAGGCTGTCTGTAATTTTGAATCCTGTACAATTTCTCATTGTGCAGATGAGGAAAACGTGCTTTTCCCCAAACACAGCAGATACGTCCTAGGCCTGCTGATTCATGCGCGCGTAAGGAATTGCTGAGCTCATATTCAGAGCCCAGTCCTAGGCTGGAGGCTGGGGACTCATTGGTTACCAGGACGGACCTAATCCACACCCACACTGCATGGGAATTCTAGTTGGCCGGGACATAGATGGAACTCAAATGGGTTTAGCGCTAACATTTGTTTTTGCTTGTGCACCCTGTCACCCTTTACCCTCCCTTGGCACCCAGGACAGTGCACAGCGCATAGTGGATGCTCAGTCAATGAGGGTTGAATGAATGAGAGAATGGACATCTCAGCAGGACCCTTCTTGGGTTGCTCCGCAAATCCACAGGTGGGCTTCTCTTGGCCAACCGTAGACGTAGACGAAGGCTGTTCGCTCTGTTGTTTCTGGGCTGATGGGTAAACCCAGGGATATTTGGCCCCCAGGTGGACCTTTCATCAGATTGGACTTCTGACGCCCAAGCCTCGGGGCCCAGGCAAGGCAACCCGTCTTCTCCTGCGCTAGAGGGACTTTATTGGGGGGAAAGGACAAGAAGTCCACATGACCTGTGGTCAAGGTTTTCAGGGACAGAGGAAGCCTCACTCTGAAGGAGACTTTCCGTTCCAGGATATGGCAGGTCCAAAATCATTGCGGACACCTAGAGGCTACTCAATTTGGCCGACGGAGGTTGGTCGGGTTCATGGCTGGTTGACTTTTTTTGAGGTAGAAGGTACCTTCTTCTTCTGCAGGAAGAAGGTAGCGCGTGAGTCACCAGTGTGTCTCCCCCTCCCATCCATAGGCCCACCCTGGAGAGACTCATCCTCCAGGCCAGCCAGAGGCCACGGCGAGGGCACTCACATCCAGACTCTTCCCGAACCATCTACAGTTATGTGCTTCCTTCCTGTCTTTCCTTCACTTGACAGTGAGCCCCATGAAGGCAGGGGCTGTATCATCAGCAACTGGAGTCCGAGTGGGCTCAGGTGCGGGGAGGAGCCAGTGGTTCCTACTGGGTTGGCTGGGAGATATTGGGACAAGCTCCAATCTCTGCTAACCTGAGGTTTGGGTGTATCAGGAAGGGTCCCTAGGGTGTCCTCACTCTCCCAGGGGGCAGTCTGGTCATCTGGAGTTGCTCACCGCTAAAGTGTTTTCAGAGCACGTGCTTCTGGCTCCGGGGGGAGGCACCTCTTCGAGCCACTGGCCATGCCCAGGCAGTCCTTCCTGTGTGGACACAGGCACTCCCCCAGCAGGCTTTTCAACAGTTTCACATCCAACTGTCTGAGGATTTCTTCCATCAGAGGACATACCTGGAGCACCAGCACAGAGAGAAACGTCAGGCCACGGGCTGGGCAGAGAAAGCTGGAGGGCCTGTGGTGGAAGGTTTTGACTGAACTAGAGGTCCCACAGGAATTGTGACCAGAGTGGCTCCCTTACATGGAACCCTGATTAGCGACTAGGTGTCATGCAGGCCACTCCTGCGCAGCGTTTCCCTGAATCCTTGCAGCAGCCCCATAAAGTAGCACTATGGTTGGCCGGTTGTGCCCGTGCTACAGCCGGGCAAGCAGGCACTTGGGGAGGCTAGGTGCCCCGCCCAAGGAGACACAGCCAGTAGATGGACGACGGCACTGTCATTTTAACTGATTCGACTTCCAAAGCCCAAGATGGAACTTGATCCTAACGGCCCACCTCTATGCTCAGATCCTCCAACTCTACGACGTCCAAGGGGATGCTCTTTCCACTCCCCCCCCTTGCCCCCTGTCCCCCAACGTTACCTGACTGGCTACGAGCTGCGGGATCACTTTCTCCAGGTTCTCTCGGAGCTTGCTGAGAACACTTTGCGTCTTTGGCGGGACATCCCTAGAGAGAAAGGCGGGTGCACAGAACAGATAAACACCAGACGCTGGCCCGAGGCCACCTGACAGGGCCATCTCGTCCCCACTCAGTCCTGCGTGAGGGGTGTCACTGCCGGCAGGTCGGAAGAGTAACTCAGAGAGGTGATGTGACTTGCCCAAGGTCACTTAGTAAGTGCTGATTGGATGAGCACGATGTCTGCAAGTGCCCCAGAGGTCACAGTCCCCCCCCCCCAGTGAACGCACAGGGGGAGGGGGTGAGGTGGGGGTGAGGTGGGGTGGGTGGGTCTAGGCACTCGGCGAAGTCTGAGGAGTACATGGTTGGGCCTCCGCCGAGGACTTCGCTGTCTTCGTTGGCTTGGGCTGGAGAGTGCCATCAGGTGCAGCCTTTGCCCTGGAGACATTCGCAGTCTGCTGAGGTGGACAGACTCGGTCAGCTCATCGACAGCTCTTCGTATTCTCTAGTCTGTCTGTCTTGCTCAGCAGCGTGGCCCTCGCATCGAGCCCAGCTCCGAGTCGCCTAGGAGCTCAGCAAGCCGTCGTTGACTGAATGCGGTGGGAGAGTTGGAGGGAAGGAGGGAAGGGCACTCCAGGCACAGGGATTGTCATGGGCAAAGGCAAGGTAGAGTGAAATCCAGGACGGCCTGATGGATGAGTCGGCCCTTCAGTGGGGCTGAAGCTCCAGGCAGGGCGACACCTTGGAGGCTTGGACAAGGGGCTAGGGCTTGGCCCTGTCTCTGCATGAGGAGGTTACTTCTTGCTGAAGGGGAAGGGATGGAGTGGGGGAGGTGAGCTCTGCATCAGGGAAGCCCTGGAGGAGGTTCCAGCATTGGTCCAGGCAACTAGCTGACCGATTCAGGGCAGTGATCAGCAGGGAGGAGCAGCGGGTTGCCGGCGGTCATGGATGAGAGCCAGTGAGAGGGGGTTGGCAGAGAGGGAGAAGAGTCTGGCTCCGGATAAGATGGCGGGGCCATCACTGGGATAGAGGTGTGGGAGAAGCAGCAGATCCCAAGGGAAAGGGTAAGGTGTGTTTGGGCCAAAACTGGAGGTGGCTGGAGAAATGAGGCTGAGGTTAGAGTGGAGAGGAAGGGGGCCCAGGGCTGGGGGGTGGGGGAGCAGGCCACAGTGGGGGGGCTTACTCAATTAGGAGCATGCTAACACTGCTGGGCTTCACGCAGCAATTGCCTATCACCAGATCCCTCCGGCCAAACTCATCTTTCTGCAGCCAGAATTCCACAGTGAGGTCCATGTGTGTGCGCAGCGGTATGATCTTGCTATTGAAGGGCCTGGACAGGAGGAGTGGAGGAGGCAGGCAGGGGGAGGGGTGGAGGAGGAGACAGAGGAAGAGTAGGAGGAGGTGGGAGCAGCCAACATGAAGAGTGGTTCATTGGCATTGGCAAAGGCGGCCATGGTCCGCTGCCAGGACCTCTCATTGCCCTCTGAGCCCTTTCAACAGCCCAGTGAGGCTGTATGTGGCCCCGTGTGAAATCCTCCAGTCAGGGATTAAGGAGAAAACTGGGATTAGCCAGAGGGGCCTTTAGAAATTCGAAAGTTGAGAATTAATCTCAAGTTTCAAAACCTTTACCCGGCAGTAAATGCCCTCCTTTACCTCGGACCAAGGAGAGTTGGAACCAGAGGAGTGAAAAGTGTGACCAAGCAATCAGGCACCAAGGCATCATTCGCATGCTTCCCTCCTTTTAGAGATCAGGTAGATTTAAGCAAGCACACCTTTTCCTCCACTGTCTAACCATCTCCACCCATATTCAGTGGAAGAAACCAAGGCTCAGAGAGGTGAAGTGATTTGTGCAAGGGCACACAGCGAGGGTGGATGGAAGTCAGAATTGCAGCCAGGTTGGGTTCAGAAAGTCCTTCATTCCCAGTTTGCCCGGCTCTACCCTGTGCCCCCCACTCCCCGCCCACTCCTGGGGGTCCCCAGGGCAGAAGAGCAATCCTCAACGGGCCCTGCTTTCATAGGACTCACAGTCTAAATATCAAGTCAAATTCAAGTGCGATGCTGGCGGAGAACCACTCCTTATGGGAAGACATTTGAATCTCGCCGCAGTCCATGTGAACGTTGGTGATATTGATGCTACACAAGGGAGGACCAGGGGCCTTGAGTGAGTGAGGACCCTTGGACAGGCAAGGTCACTCAATGAGAGGTAAGCTGGCCTACAAAGAAACTCTAGCAATGGGAACCAATTCCCATTGGTTGTCTTACAGGTACATGGTCAAGAGCTCCCAGCTGGAGCCCTGGGCTGACAGCTCTCCCAGCATGCCACCGCCACTGTCAGTCCTACACACCGACTTATACGACCCACAGTCAGCTGTGAACAAGACCCCCCCACCCTCCGACGGAATCTCTTGCCCCAGGAAATAGTCCATCACCCACCTAGCCCGGGCCCCAGCCCGGGAGCTGACTTTGACTTCTCTGCACCCCTCTCCCTTCACCCAGCCCATCAGGAAATCTTGTCGGTTCCGCCTGCAAAATGATCCCATTTGGTCACTTTCGACCACTACCTTTTCTCTGACCTGGTCCAGGTGACCACCATCACATCCTGCTTGGTGATGGTCCCGTCTTGGGCTACCTGTGCCATCTTAGTCTCACTATGAACATTCGTTAGGAGTCAGAATTGACTTGATAGCAGTGAGTTTTGACTCATCGTGATAGGACATCCTGAGGGTGCTGTGGGCTAGACACTGGGCTGCTAACTACTAGGTTGGTGGCTCAAAGCCATCCGTTGGTTTGTGGGTGAAAGATGGGGTTGTCTTCTCCAGTAACCCTATACAGGGTTATTATGAACTAGGATCAACTCGATGCAGGGGGTTGTATGTTGTATGGTTTTGTTTTGTTTTTAACCAATCATTCTACGTCTATTAAGTCCCTGGGTGGTGCAAATGGTTGACATGACTGGCAGCTACCCCAAATACTAGTAGTTCCAATCCACCCAGCGTGGCTCGGAAGAAAGGTCTGGTGATCCGCTTCTGAAAAGTTGGTCCTTGGAAACACTGTAGCCCGTGGTTCTGTTCTGACAGATGTGAGGCTGCCGAGAGTTGGAGCCACTGGCTTTGGCTTTTGTGCCATCTGATGAAGAATTCTACACACGGTCCTGATCAATGAGGCCAACTCCCAGAGGGGACAATGGTTGCACTCAGACTGCTTAGATGCTTTGCCCCCTGAACACACAGCTTTCAAGCACTAGGGTGGGCCCCAGTCCTGGCTCGCTTGCTGCCCCAGAGTTTATCCAGGGGCTGCTCTGGGCACCTAGAATGGTCCAGATTTCCCCAGGTTGGCGGCAGCGTCAGGATTGGAAGCCAGACACGTTGACTCCTGAGCCTTCATTTCCATCTCCCTGCTGGACTGTCTCTCCCTGGAAGACCCTTTGAGTCCGGTTGGCTCCCCCACTCCCCCTCGCCCTGGCACTTCCTCTCTCCCTCCTTTCAACAGCCTGCCTGCTAGCTCAGCCCGCTGGGCCCTTTCTGTCCTTGATGCCTATGGGGTGCCCCAGGGTCCGGGTGGGCTTCTGGCTCTCACCTGTCTTCCTCCTGCTGCTGGAGGCCTGTGCTGCCGATGAGCCAACCCACCATGCCGGCCGGCCCATGCTCCGACGTGTTCAGGCTGCTGAGCAGTTGGAGGCTCTGGACCCGGCTCTCGGCGTGGAGTCTCGTGAGGCCTTGGGCAATAACTGAACACAGACACACAGTCAGTGGCCTGGCCCAGGGCTCCGGGAAGAGTGGGCTCTGCCGTTGGGAGACCTGGGCTTGTCCCTGCATGCATGGCGATCCCTGGGCTGTGAAATCACACCCTTGAGAAATTGATCAAAGGGCCCAGAGAAGCGCCAGCAGCCTCTGGCGTTTCAGAAGGAGACGTGCAGGGTTTCCTGTTTGCCTCGTGCTGCGCCTGCAAGGATGGGATATGGGACAAGGTGGGCATGGGGATCACAAAATCTCAAACAGAAGAGGAGCCTGGCAGTGACTCCTGGTGGTAATATCTGGAAAAAAAGAAGGACGACAAGATGGTGGGGCCCAGGTGACCTTCCCTCCTGTCCCTGAGGACAGCAGGCAGAGCAAGGACTGCGGCTTACTTCTTGCCAGGGTGGGCCTGCTCTCTAGGTGGGCCTCGGCCAGGCCTGACCCGGGCTGCTTGGGCAGGATGGACAGCAGGGGCAGCAGTCCCAGGAGAATGAGGGGCTTCCAGAGTGGGGGCATCTTGGGAGCCAGGAGGACCTCCAGGTACCAGAAAGGGTCAGCTGGGGCCCAGGCAGATGTCTGCAGCGCCGCTGGACGGGCTCATGGTTCTCTGCAGGAAATGGCATCCGAGGGAGTCAACAGTTGGTTGCTCTGGGCTGTGGCAGCCTCCACCAGGGTCTGCTCACATGGTGGGAGCATCAGGTGATGTCCGGGGCGGGACAGAGGCTGGGGCTCCACAGGGAGGCTTTGTTGCTGGGAGACACCCAACAGAGCCCACTGTTGGGTCATCCAGCTGCAGTCCTGTCCTGATGCAGACACAGGAGGGACACTGGGGCACACCAGTGAATCCATGAATGGGTGGATGGACGAGTCCAAGAGAGTGACTGGGCTCTCCCATTGGCCCAGGACTTTTTTAAGGGCCAGAGCATCCTTGACCCCCATTTGGATGTTTGCTTGCCAGAAACGAAATGCCAGTGAATGTTTCTTGAGGGACCGAATGACTGAGGGAAGGAGTGACTGAGGAGGGCTCATCTCTCCATCTTCCCCCAAACACCGTGAGTTTGTGGAGAACAAGGTGCAAGCCTCATTCAACCTCCTGTCTGTGGAGCCTTTACAAGCAGACGCCACTTACCTTTGAGTCGATGCTGATTCATGGCAACTCCGTAGGTACGAGTGGGACCGAATCTGCTCTGTGGAGTTTACGTGACTGATTTCCCCAAGGAGATCCTTGGCGTTTCCTCTGAGGTGTCTCCAGATGGAGCCACAACACATGTTAACTGTTCCTATAACCCGGGCATAGCTGTTCGCTTAATAACCCGGGCATAGCTGTTCGCTTAACCATATCACTCCTTCACTACATAGAAGCTACTGACGAGTGTTTGCTTGGATGGCTGATGAGGTGGGTGGGCAGGTTCTAGATAAGATTCACAGGAGTGGGGCACAGAGGATAAAAACCAAAGTATGAGGCCTACTTTGGAGCCTTAGGACTGGACTCTGGGAAATCAGTTCAAATCTCTCAGCTTCCCCATCTCAAAAATTGACACTAGCATCCTACCCGATGTCCCTAACCGGCACGAGGAGCCACCCTGGATGACTCTTTTACATCTCCCACAACCCTTTCTGTCAGGAGATTTGCCAACACCCCCAACGTCAGACGGTTTCTGGCCACCACCTCCTCAGCCTCCATCATCTCTGCCTGAGTCATTGCAGGGGTGCCCCACGGGTTTCTGAGCCTTTGCTCTCACCCATCTGCCGTCGCTTCCCTCCTCCTCAAAGTCCCCATCGCCTGCAGAGCAAAAGGTCAATGTCCAGAGATGCCCAGCAGGCTCCACAGGCTTCCCATTTCCTCTCCTGAGGGCTCCTCCTACCCCATTCCCTCCCCCTCCCTGGAGAAGAAGGAATGGCCTGGCAGCTCTAAATTCCACCATTGCTAAACTCCTTTACTCTTCCAAGGACAAACTCCTCTCCTCTTTTGGAAGGCAGGCGTTTTCGGAAAGGTGATGAGAACCTTAGTGTATCTTTATTTTATTTTATTTTTTTAGTGTATCTTTTAAAGGGGAATGAAAAACAAAACAAAACAAAAAGGGTCAAGTTACACTTCTACGATGTCCATGGACCTCCTGTTAGCACAAGGCTAAAAGCCCTGCCCTATGAAATAATTAGCTGTCACTGAGTTTGACTTGGGTACACATTTACTGATGCAGTCACTCAACCACGAATTATTTATCATCGGCCTACCCTGCAGAATGGGTTACAACTCAACGTAAAGAAAACCGAAATCCTTACAACTGGACCGGTAGGTAACATCACGATAAATGGAGAAAAGATGGTCATCAAGGATTTTCTCTCGCTCGGATCCACAATCACTGCTCGTGGAAGCAGCAGTGAAGAGATCAAACGACGCGTTGCATCGGGTACATCTGCTGCCCAAGACCACGTTAAAGTGTTGCAAAGCAAGGAGGTTACTTTGAGGACTAAGGGGCGCGCCTGACCCAAGCCATGGCTTTCCAAGGGCCTCCTGTGTGGGGGGCAGTTCGATGCTGAATAAGGAAGACCGAAGAAGAATCGGGTTTCAGTTATGGCGTTGGTGAATATTGGAAGTGCCGTGGAATGCACAAAGAACCAACAAATCTGTCATGGAGGAAGGACAGCCACGATGCCCCTTAGAGGTGAGGATGGCGACACTTCCCTTGGACGCGCTATTAGGAAACCCAGTCCCTTGAGAAGGGCGCCATGCTTGCTGCTGTGGAAGAGCAGTGGGCAAGAGGACGGCCCTCCAGGAGCTGGATCCACACGGTGGCTGGTCGGTGGCTCAAATGAGGAGCAACTGAGGGTCACGCAGGTCTGGGTGGTGTTTCCTGCTGTCCTGCATAGGGTCGCTGTGAGTCAGAACCAACTGGATGGCCCCTGATAACGACGGCACGCCCACCTCTGTACTCAGCTCCAGGCCTAAGCAGATCACCTGCTCCTCCGCAGGGACTCAGAACAAGAAGAAATCCGATGTAAACAAGGAGACTGTGAATGGTACTCAGGCAGAGCGGACGATTGGGGATAGCAGGAGTTTGGACCAGGAGATTTCTTGGAGGAGGCGGCATTTGAGCTGGATCCAGGGGGAGGAGGTGGAGCGGTCTTGGGTGTAGATAGGGAGAGGATATTCCCAAGACGGGGCTCAGGAGGTTGGAGGAACGTAGTGTGGCCATGTGTCTGCAGGCTACTCAGTGAAGGGTCCTGGAAGGCTGGAGCTTCTGATTGGAGAACACAGCTACACTCATGACCGCCCTCCCATGGCCATTCACAGTACTGCCTCCTCAGGGCTCTCAGGTGGCTCTAGGTTCCAGGCAGTGGGCCCACGGGTGGTGCCAAGAGGGTGTTAATCTAGAGAAAAGTAGGTCAAAACCACCCAGCAACACCATGGCAGAGAACCCTTGGTGGTCCACTTCTGTCAAGATTACAGTCAGGAAAACCCTATGGAGCAGGTTCTACTTCATGGCAAAGGATTGGAGTTTTTGCCTGTTGGCTGATGTCAGGTAGATTTTGGCTGGAAGCAGAAACTACCAGAAAGGCATTTACTTGTGTTTTATTGACTATGCCAAAGCATCAGACTGTGGACCATAACAAACGATGCATAACCTTACGATGCATAACCTTACGGAGAGTAAGACTTCCAGAGCACCTTGTTGTGGTCATGTGGAACTTGTACACGGATGGAGAGGCATTTGTGTGAACAGAACAAGGGAATAGTGCATGATAAAATCAGGAGAGGCGTGTGCCAAGGTTGTATCCCATCACCATACTCGTTCAAGCTGAATGCTGAGCAAACCATCAGAGAAGCTGGGTTATACGAAGAAGACCGTGGCCTCAGAATTCTGGGAAGGTGTATTAACAACCTGAGATACGCAGGTGACACAGCCGTGCTTGCTGGAAGCGAGGAGGATTTGAAGCGGATGAAGATCAGACTGCAGCCTTCAGCATGGATTACGACTCAAATCCTCACACCTGGACCAACAGGTGACTTGATGATAAATGGAGAAAAAGGAGTTTGGCTTGCTTGGGTCCACAGTCCACGCTCATGGAAGCAGCAGTCAAGCGATCAAAAGATGCGTCGCATTAGGTAAATCCATTGCATAGGACCTCTTTTGTGTATTGAAAAGCAAGGATGTATGACAGAATAATAATTTATAAATGATCAGGCATTCATGAGGGAGTGGGGAGTGGGGAGGGAGGGGGAAAATGAGGAGCTGATATCAAGGGCTCAAGTAGAAAGCAAATGTTTTGAGAATGACGATGGCAACAAATGTACAAATGTGCTCGACGCAACGAATGGATGTTGGATTGTGATAAGAATTGTACGGGCCCCTAATAAAATGATTTAAAAAAAAAAAAGAAAAGCAAGGATGTTATTTTGAGGACTAAGGTGTGCCTGGTTGAAGTCATGGTATTTTGCACTACCTCATATGCCTGCGAAAGTTGGGCACTGAATCAGGAAGACCGAAGAAGAATGGATGCATTCGAATCGTGATGCTGGAGAAGAATATTGAAGGTACCATGGACTGCTAACAGGACAAACCAATCTGTCTTGGAAGAGGTATGGCCAGAGGGTTCCTTAGAGGCAAGGATGGCAAGATTTTGTCTCACATACTTTAGACTTATTCTCAGGAGTGACCAGTCCCTGCAGAAGGACATCATGCTTGGTAAAGTGGAGCAGTGGGCAAAAGGGGGGCCCTCACGGAGATGGATGGTCACAGTGGCTACAACAAGGGACTCAGGCACAGGAACATTGTGAGGCTTGAGGTGGAGCATAGAGTCGTGTCTCGTTCTGTTGTGCTGAAGGTCATTGTGGATCAGAACTGACTTGCTGGCACCTAACAATAGCAGCAGCAGCAGCAGCAGCAGCAACACAAAAGATGCGGCAAATAGTTAATGCGCCTGACTGCTAACTGAAACGTTGGAGGTTTCTGTCTGCCTGGGGAGCCTCAGAAGAAAGGCCTGGCACATCAGCCATGGAGAACATAGTGGATCGCAGCTCTACTCTGACATCCATGGGGCGTCCAGAGTCAGAAATGGCGCAGTGCCCAGTCCAAGGCACAGCCTCTCAACCTTTGGGCGGGATGAGGCAGGAGATGGGCGGGTCATAGAAGGCACTGCCCAGGGGTCTGGGGTGGGCCTGGGATGTGCCTTGCAATGATCATCCCAGGAAGTGAGGCAGGGGGTTTAATCCACATGTTGAAATTCACTCTTCTGAAGAATGGAGTTCCTTTATTAATCTAATCATTTGTTTCTTACTTCCAGGATGTTATTTTAGTTTTTACAAATTCAGAGTCAATGAATAGGGGCTAGCGAGGGCAACGTTCACCCGGAGATAACTTTCTTTAACGCGGAGTCTTTTTGGAATGGAGACTCAGCTTTGGCAGAGGGTGGTGGCGATGCCTCTTCTGGGGTCTGGGGACAGCTTGGAAGGGGGAAGAAGAGCAAGTGGGAAAGTTGGTGTTTCTAGGGATTTTCGGCGTTTTGGTGTTTGATGGGGGATGTTTATTTAAAAAGAATGAGGATTCCTTGGCCGTTGGGTAAGAGTGCCCGGAGAGCGGGGACCTGGGAAGAAGTCTCTGAACGACTCTGAGGCGGGTTGAGCTCCTCGCAG